TTATATCTGTTTCCCATAAACACACAAGCATACAATGATTTATGATCAAGTATATGTAGACCGTTCTCAAGAAAAATATACAGTGAAGACAATTTCTCTGTCTTCTTAGATAGCTAGTTAAAGGTTTTTCAAATTGCCTATCATTCTGGTTCAAAGAAGAGCATGTACCTAAAAGCTGTCTGTTTTCTATGTAAGGTACAATACCCTGAATGGGACACTGCTCTTCACTATTCTCATCATTGACAAGTAAACCAGAATAATTGATTTTTTCAGCTTGCACTTGGCTCATCCTAAAATGGAACTTGGCCTTTTTAAAATAGCTTTGTGTTATGGACTTGTTCACTGTGTATTCTGCGACAATCTACAGGTCCTTTTTTGCAGTACTGTTACATGATCAGTTATTCCTTATTTGTTATTTGTGCACTTGATTTCTCCATTCCAAAAACACTACATTGTAACATTTATTTAAATTGATTTCTTAAATCACTGCTCTGATTGATCACGATCATTTTTCATTTTGAAGTTGTTCTACAAAGAACAAAAATAGATGACTGCTTCCTTTCAGTTGGTAGGAGGAGATAGTTCATCAGTGCAGTTTTGGGTCCATGTATTGGCTTGGCTTCAGATTATCCTGTATTTAAGGTTTTGGACTCAACTGAGATGATAGTTAGCCTTTATGTAGCTTCTCCATGAGTCTGCTTAAAAATGCGATGTGTGACACCAGCCGGTATTTGGCCAATATGAACTTCTTCAATGTTGCTCTGTCTATATAGGTGAAACAGGAAGGAGGTGTTTTTCCTGACATGTTACTTGGCTTGCTCAGGCTTGACACCTGTTGTTTGTGGCTCTTTCCCAAGACAGTGATGGAATAATTTGGAATCATGAATTTTTTTGGTCACAGCTTTAGGAACTGATAAGCATATATAGCGAGCTCTGTAAACTGCTGATACCTATGAAGCTTTGTGAACTCTTTGATCTTTTCATCCATGAGAAGAGAGTTATTCACTGTACATGGTGTTTTGTCTTGCTCTAAGCTGAGGATTGAGCAAACTTTGTACCACCTTGGAGAGCTCGTTGGAGTTAATTTAGTTGTACAAACAGGAGCTAGTGGGAATATTTCTGTGGCCTATATTATTGCCTCAGGATTAGCTTTGATTAATTTTTCTCCATCTGCATCAGCCATTTTTTCTGCCACCAGTGTTCACCTTTCCACCTTCTCCATTTATGCAGCACAAGATGTTCAAAAGCCAAGGAGAGGTATATGAAACACGGACCTTGTGTGGGTTGGTGCGTCTGTGATAACAATTGGCATTACATCATAATCTTTCACTAGG